CGCAACTTTGGGGGATGTAGTTTGTATTCACTCAAGTTAAAAGTCCACCCCCGACTTGCAACTCGATGGATGTAGTTTGTAATTGCTCCAGTTGCAAGTCAACCATATGCTCACAACTCGGGAACGTATTTTTGTAGTTGCCATAGTTGCAAGTCCGCCCTCATCTTGCAACTCTGGGTTGTTGTTGTTGTTGTTGTTGTTGTTGTTGTTGTTGTTGTTGTTGTTGTTGTTGTTGTTGTTGTTGTTGTTGTTGTTGTTGTTGTTGTTGTTGTTGTTGTTGTTTTGTTCTTGGTTCATCGTAGTTGCAATTAGACCCTGGACCTGCAACTAGGGGTTTCTGTTGGCCCAGTTGCAAGTCCACCCTTGACTTGCAACTCGGGGGTGTTGTTTTGTTTTCACCCTAGTTGCAAGTCCACCCCCGACTTGCAACTCGAGGCATGTAGTTTTTTTAGAGGCCCAATTGCATGTCAACCTTCGACTCGCAACTAGGGGGCGTATATTTTGTAGGGGCCCCAATTACAAGTCAGCCATCAACTCACAATTGTCCGTGTGTGGAGGGACTCGCCCAGGCACACTCGTCCGCTATTGTGATTTTTCAGGACAAACGAACAAGACAATACGTGGGATGATGTCATACTTAGATGTGACATAACTATTCAAAAAAAAAATTCCGTGTTTTTGGGAAAGTGTTAGTGTTCCAGAAAATATTCAAAATTTTAAAAAATTGATTGCATTTTAAAAACTTTTTGAGATTTTTAAATTGTTCACGTTTTCAAAAATTGTTTGTGTTTAAAAAAATGTTTGCAACTACAAATCTTGTTCACATTTTTATTAAAATATTCTGCATCTATAAATTTGTTCACAATTTTTTTAATAAATGTTCAAAAAGGTTTCAAATCTGACGATGTAGTGAGTTACTCCCTCCGTACCATAATGTAAGACGTTTTCTGATACTACACTAATGTCAGAAAACGTCTTACATTATGGCACGGAGGGAGTACTAAATATTCACGCTGATTAATTATCACGAACATGCATTTGTTTTAGTGGCTAGAAGACACGCGTTAAGTAGTTGGAGCTTGGTAGTTCGATTCCTTGTTAACTGTGGCTTTTGTCTTGCAACTTTTTCTTGTTTTTTTTTTCTGAGACGAAACAACACACTTAGGATTTTTTCCTGTGTGTTACAAACCAACAAGCTTCGGTGTGTATACCGGCCCAGTCGAGACGCACTCAGCTTGTTTACCACCAACGGAGAAACTTGGCTGGACAACCATCAAACAAAAAATAAACGAACCAGTTGTAGAAAGTTGTCAATGAAAAAGCCACAAACAAAATGTGACATCATGTTAGATGTGAGATATTATCTCACATCTAGATGTGACATAGAGAGACCCTTCCAAAAAATGAGGCTGTGCCCGTGTGCCTGGGCCAACCCATCTCGCCTCTCCATTCATGTGAGTCCCCCTAGAAGCGAGGTATCTCTACTATCTAAAAAAAATGTAGTGTTCCATTTTCCCTCTTACGTTCCCCATTCCGTCCAACCTCTCCTACGACCCCCTCTCCCCGTAGCGATTTTCTCTCCCTCCCGGTTTTATCCTCATCTGACCACACAAACCGGACGCAATCAATCACATAAGGTAACCAGACGCACGCAATCAATTCGCAATCAATTCACATAAGGTAACCAAACGCACGCAATCAATTCACAATCAATTCACATAAGGTAACCAGATGCACGTTATCAATCAATTCACGTATACCAATCAATCTCTTATTTGGTAACGCATAATAACAGAATTAATTACGGTCAATCTCATATTTCCTTCTGGTCTAAAATTGCCCTTACCAAATCTCTCCTGATTTTTTCTTCCTCTAACCAGTCCCTCTTCCTCTCCTCCCTCGATCCCAACAGCCACACTCCAGACGCAGGAGTCCACCGACCAAACCCTATCCTCCCCGATCTCGTTTCTCTCTTGTGTGGCATCATGGTAGATCAAGCGGTGGCCAAGGCATGAGGGAAATATCTGCAGCGGGTCTAGGTGACGTCAGACTGGAGCGATGTCTTCGTTTCCAGGTTGACAATCTCATATTTTATGTCTCTGCCTCTCCTTCTTTGGTCACTAAGCTTTGATGATTTTTGAGATGCTCTCGCTACCTTCAATGCATGGTTACCTCATCACCAGCGTGTTCTCCTTGGGGCCGTGGACCATTAACACCTAGCGTCAGTGTGTTCGGCGTTTGAGTCGTAATGGAGCATTAACACCCAACATGTTCGGCGTTGGAGTCATCGTGGAGAGCCCATCCCGTAGTTCAGATCATAATAACTTTTGAATTTTGGTTGTTCGTAGTATTTGGGTTGAGTGGGCTAGCTGCAGTGCGACCTGCCGTCAATGATAAAGTTACAACTTACAAATGACCCATCATGGCCGCCCGTAGTTTTGTCCAAGCTTTGTTACTACATGGTTTACTTTTTGTCACACTTCAAAACTACAATCAGAGAAAAGAACCATAGTTTCTCTCCAGCAGGTAAACTTACAAACTAGCGGCATTTTGAGAACTGGACATCTGGAGGTTCGGTGATTGAACGTCATGTCTTTTTTATTAAGCTTTGGAAGTTTCAAGGCTAAGCTTTTACCCAAAGTTATTTGTATGTCTATGTTCAGATTTCAAGGATATGCTTCACCATTCAGTTGTGAGTTCTGACCACGCATGGGCAACCGACCGCGGCCGAATCGATCTTTAGTTTAGAGTGTTTGCATGTGATGATCAACAAGTACAAAACTTATTTGGATTAAGAATATAAGTAAATTAATGATATATTCCAGACATTTGTACAAGAAATTCTGCACCTCCTGGGGCCGACTACATATCAGTGTGGACATAGGATTGATACTTTCCTCAAGGAATAACCCACACTTTTTTTAGACTATGTGCACCATGTTTCAAAGGGATCATTGATGTAGAATCACCCGAAATATTCTGATTTGGTTGCAGAAGATGTTATCATCAGAGAAAACATGATTAACGCTGAATCACCGGAATATGGATGTCCCGTTGCAACGCACTGGCAATTACCTAGTATGGTTAAAGAACCGAGGTATATCCGCGCCCCCCGTAATGCAGGCATAGCAGCACAAGACGGTTCATTAAATTGCTCATGAGCCCTAAAAAACCCTAAAGTGCTCATGAGTCATGAGTCCTCAAAAGGAGAAAACACTCGTCCCTGGAAGAACGATATGTTCACCCGCGAAAAAAAAAGAACGATATGTTCATGCTGTTTTGTCATACATGAGTTGGGCTTGTGCCAGAGATACGCGCGTCTCGCCAAAAAAACAGCGCACATACTGATGCTGCAACAGAAGTTCAGGTGCATGCCCCGTTGGTGGATCCATGTCAAAGAATTTTGCCACGAACAACTGCAGAATTGTGTTTTTTCGAACAGGAGTAAGTACTAAACAAGTGCAGAGCCATGGTAGGAGGGGTTCAGGCAGGCCGCTTCTCCTGGATGGCATGCACACTGATGGCAGGCAATTCTTATCTCATCGCCTTGGTCTGTTCTTCCGAGGCGTCCTGCGCCAAGGAGACGCCGACCATCTTCTTCCCCTGTCGCTGCTGCTTCTCGCAGTCCAGATCGGGCGAGCCGCCCTGCTCGTCGCCGCTCGCCGCTCCTGCAGCGTTGTACTCCTGGTCCTTGTCCTTGCCCCAGAGCAGCATGTAGAGGCCCAGGATGACCACCACTCCCCCGATTATGCTGCAGGCATGCATGCCAGTCATTAGTAATTAACAACGGTAATTATGCGGCTGGTGAGACACACATAGTTGGTGCACGCACGCAGCAGAGCATGCACGGACGCTCATGCTCATGTCGTGTCCAGGTTGCCGTGCCATGCCGGAATGGAGCACCCATTTAGTTGAGCAACAGCGGGCATGCACCACACGCATGTACTACTACGTAGGAGTACATACCTTCCGACGTATAGGTTCTCGCCGAAGATGAAGTAGGCGAGGATGGCCACCATGATGGTGGACACCGGGTTGAACATGGTGACGAACACCGGCCCCTTCTTCTCCGTGCACCACAGCTGCGCGAACACCGTGAACCCGCTGCACGCGAGCCCCTGAAACACAACGTTCGTGCACGCATGCAGTTCATGAGCACTGGCTGGCCACATGGTGGTGACGTGCATGGAGGACGGGGGAGAAGACAAGGGCAGGCGCGTACGGAGTAGATGATGCACCAGAACTTGAGGCCGAAGCCGATGAGCCAGTCCTGCCTCTCGTGCTGCAGCAGCAGGGTGAAGGCCGCCGACTGGACCCCGCCCACGGTGGCCATCCACGCCGTCAGCGACAGCTCCGCCGGGTACCGCTTCACGGACGTCGCCTGCATGATGTACCAGACGGACCAGCAAACGCAGCTGGCCACGGCGAGGAGGGACCCCTTGAGCCAGGCGTCGTGCGGGGCGTCGCCGCCGCGGGGGATGTGCACCGGCGCCCTCCAGGGACTCGCGATCGCCGTCCCCTTGTACAGCGTCATGGTGGTGACCCCCGCGAAGGACACCGCCGTGCCGGCCACCTTGGCGAGGCCCCGCGCGCTCCGCAGGTCCACGATCTCCATCCGGAGCGCGATGGCGATGACGAAGGTGATGGAGGCCACGGTGTTGACCATGGAGGTGACGAAGGTCGGGGACGTGTACTTGAGGCTCGCGAAGTACATGTTCAGGGTCAAGCTCACCCTGCAATTGCAGTTCCTCTCAGGATCACTAAACAAATGTTGGTCTACGTACGTATGTATATATGCAATCTTCTCAGCGATTCTTGTTCTTACCCTAGAAGTGAGAGCACGAAGATCTCCAGGAACAGCATCCATGTCATCTTGGGCCTCAACTTCCTGACGCCGCACAAAACGAAGCAGAATGAGCAAGGTAATTAACAGAGATTCATCGTGATACCGTCGTCAAAGTCTGAATCTCGTGGTGTAATGAACATATGAGCTTACTTCTCGTGGTAGTAGGCGAAGGGCCAGAGGAGGACGGCGACGAGGAGGTGGCGGTAGGTGACGTAGACGTAGGGGTTGAGCCCCCGGTTGAAGGCGGCCTCGGTGACGAAGTACATCAAGGTGTAGCACAGCTGCACCATGATCATCATGTTGTGCGGCGCGTACCTCCTCCACAGCCCTCCCGGCCCCATCGCAGCTCCTCCAGCCATGCCCAAGTTGATCGGTGTCGCTCGGTTTGAACTGGATCGAAGAAGAACGCCAAGCGCAGAGCCTGTCTTTATAAAGGCGGTTCCGTGGTGCCGTGGGTTATATAGCTGTGGTGATGGTGAAGCAGTGGCTAGCACCTGATGCATGGGGATGTCGCTGTGATAATACAGTGTACTCCTATATATACATCCGTCTGAAACAGCTCCACCTGAGCAGCAGCACGCAGCAGCGGCGCGTGGAATTTGACAAGTGTGTGCAGCATGGATGTTGTGCCCCTCCTAGGTTTGCACTAACAACAGTGGCAGCACCGATGCTGCCGGTTTTGGTGGTTAGTGCCCAAAAAGAATGGTTAAAAATGCTGCTAGATGGAATCAGAATTAAGTGATGAGCTCCCTTGTTTCAGAACACAACACAGGCAAAACAAAACAGTAGTGAGATGTCAGTCTATGCAATGCAGAGAGAGTTGTCACGTTCAGAAAATAGCCCTGCTACATAACGTACCATCCGTGACATATTTCTCGCACACCGGATGAAAAGGACTCATGATCGAGGCAGTGCCAGTCCCAAGTTCGGCGTCGACTTGTCTGTTCAGGTGTCACGAAAATAGGATCGCCTTGAAATCATGGTAGCCCCTATCCCTTTCTCTTTCTAAGGAGAGCACCATATGCTGATCTCAAATGGCTGATCGAGAGCATAATTTAACTAGTGGACAGGAGAATCCTGCAAGTGCCTAATGACCCCAAAAGTACAAAAAACAAAGTAATAAACCGTAATAAAGCGGAAACACTAAATAGCAGGGCCCAAAAAAAGGAAAAGGAAATCCTTTCGTGTCAAATGCTCATCGGTGCATGACGAAGGGTAAATCAGCTGCGTAAAGCTCGAGCCCCCTGTAATCTAGTACTCACTCCGTCTCAAGATGTAAGACGTTTTTTGACACTAGAGACAGAGGGAGTACAATTCTTCAGTTGATTACTATAAAACACCTAGAGTGAGCTCCAATGAGACACCCACTACTCAAACCCCATTATGCTAACCTTATCTTGCTCTCTTTAGTCACTACTCACTTTCCACCGTCTCTTTCCATTGCAGGAAGGGATTCTGCAATCGATCACGACTAATCAAAACCACATCAGTTAGCTCCCCCTCAATTGGATCGTCAGAGCTAGAAATGCAATTGATTGTTGGCATAGCTTTTGTGTGTGCAGACGCACCATGTGTGGTGGCGAAGATGCTACTACCTAGTAGTGGTGGGTTAGTTGGATGTGGCATCCAGGTAGGCTCCCTCCCCGTGCCACACCTCGTTAAAACCAATCCTCGGGCAGATGAATCTGTTCCTCCCGGCACTTATTTGGTCCTGAACAGAGGGGATATATCCTACAGTTGTTGCACAACGTTTTGTTTTGTGATGCATAGGCCATTGGGGCTAATGGATTTGGTTGTGGAATATGTATAATGGCATCCATGCTCGTTATCCGTCATGAAATCGTCATTGTGCGAGAAAGATGCGGCGTCCATGGAAATTGCAGTAGAGAAACGTAAGGATCGGATGTGTGACGTGAATACTATGTGATCTCCTAATATTTTGATTATTTTGAGGGCCCACTGCATGCATACTTATGTCGGATATTGCGTGTTCACCCACCCTAACTTTCATGCTTTTTCATTTGACTTCCAAATTTAAATCTATTTTATCTTTTGGATTGAAAGTTTAATTTATGTTTCATTTACATATTTGTGTTCTTTGCGACGAGGTCTTTGAAGCAAGATCACTCTTCTATCCATTTCGACGGTTTTGAAAAACTAAGTTTCAAGTATTAACTTCAACAAATATCTATTGGTTGTGATCTATATCGATAAAAAGAGAGGTTCACACTACCGACCAGATATACGTTTTGTTGTGAGAATTTTAAGCTTGCCCTTCTTTTCCACGCATACCATATGTCAAACAGTGGAGCTTTTACAATCATTATTTTGACTATTCTTGGAGTCTGTGGAGATTTTTCTTGTGCTATTACATAAGCGTGCGAAAATCAAGATTTTTCTCTCATAAGAATGGGAATGAGAGGTTTTTTTTATTGAAATGAGAATGACATGTGTAGACATGAGTGGAAGAATGAGAATGACATCTTTTTTTTTTAATGAAATGAGAGTGGGATGTGTAAACATGAGCGGAAGGTTTTAGTAGTTGTTTTAAGTTCATATCAATTTTCTTCATATAATATAATCGTTGACATGGTTCCATTTCAAATATATTAGTACACTCACATGTACGTATGCATAAATCAATGTATACATTATGCATAGCACGTTTTCCCCCGCGACGTCCTAGCCTTGCCAGAGATGTGCATCCTGACTTGTCTCACATCTGGATTGAAGATACCATTGACCAGATTTGGATTTGCAATCCACCTTCGTATACGACACAATCTCCCACAACACAGACTCCCATCAAGCGGAATTACATGCTTGTATAAGTGCGGATCCCTCTCTAAATCTGAGCCGATAATTATAAACCGAACAATCAAAATAATTTGATAATGTGGATTAGTGTGAGGCCTCGAAAACAACCCTATATTTTGGGGCCATTTACATTTCTGCCCCTAACTCGAACCACCTACTCAGATTTGCCCCTAATTTCAAAGCATGCTCAAATTTGCCCCTCTACCGTTAAGTCACTACTCAGAAATGCCCTTCCGTCCAGTCAAAGGCCTTTGACCGTCAAAGGCCCATGTGTACTGTAGCAGACGGAAAGTGCTACAGTATTGGACGGAAAGTACTACAGTACTGTACGGAAGGGCATTTCTGAGTAGTGACTTAACGGCGGAGGGGCAAATTTGAGCATGCTTCAAAATTAAGGGCAAATCTAAGTAGTGGGTTCGAGTTAGGGGCACAGATGTAAATGTCCCTATATTTTGCCTTTAGTATATAATGTGGATCATGTGGCACAGTCTTCATTTCCTCCTATGAGTTTGATCTAAACTATTGATTTTATTTATAGAATCACGGGTCAACACATGTACGGCCAGATGATTGTTTATTTGTGAGATTTTCTAGCATACCTTGTTATTTTCTTCCGTATTGTGATTTTAGTATATATAATAGATAGATAGATAGATTATAATGATCTATTGGTTGTGATCTACTAGTAAAAAGAGGGGTTCACTTGACTGCCGACCGATATACTCCCTCCTTTTTTGTATACAAAGGCTACAAACCCATATTACATGTACCAAGGTAGAAATTAATGGCTACTTAAACCAATGTTGCAATCTAGTCTTTTCTCCTTGCTTAACGTGTTAATTAATGTGTATTTATCTCTCCAACGCACAACAAGACAACTCTCTCACTCCTCGTTGGTTGATTAATACGGTGCATTCAAATCAGTCTTCTCACTCCCGCATGCATGCATGAGGTATTAATGTTTTCGGTTGCTAGTACGAGGCAAACCTCATCAATTTTACATCAATTTGTGTTAGTGGCATTGTATAGCTGCAAATTGTAATTTTGATAGTGGTCTCTTATACAAAAATGGAGGGAGTATCACTTTGTTGTGAATTTAAGCATACCTTTCTTCTTTATAGATATCAAATGCCAAACAATGAAGCTCTGGTGAATATATTTTTTTGGCTGATCTTGGAGTTTGTCGAGATTTTGATTATGTTCTTACATAAGGGCGCAAACTTTAAGGTTTTCTCTCATGAGAATGATAATGAGCCTTCTTTTAATGAGATTATGAACATGCGAGGAAGGTTTTAGTAGTCATTTTAGGTTCATATCAATATATAAGTTGTCTTTTGATATATTAGTAAACTCACATGTAGCACAAAGTTTGTATATATTATGCCAAACACGTTTTGCCATGGGATGTCCTAGCCTTGCAATAGACGCACATCTTCATGTGTGTCACATCCGGGTTGAAGATACTACAGATCAACTTTAAATTTGTAATCCACCTCCATATACGACACAATCTCCCATTAGACGGGATTACATGCTTATACAAGTGCTGATCTCTCGCTAAATCCGAGGCTTTAAAAATTGAAAAATCAAAATAGCTTTGATGACGTGGATCAATGTGAGGCCTTGAAAAGTACCTTGTATCGTGTTTTTCGTTATGACGTGGATCATGTGATGCAGTCCATTTCTTCCTATGAGTTCGATCTAACTGTTAATTTTATTTTTTGAATTAAGGGTCCTGGCGATATATGTTCAGATGTTTTGCTTATCTGTGGGATTTTCTAGAACATTTTTTATTTTTCTTTGTATTGTGCTTTTAGTATATAATAGATAGATACATATACTGCTATACTAATTTATTGGTCATGTGCACCAAAACCGACTATGAGAAATCTGCCAATCCACATGTGGTGTGTGAACGAGGAAAGTTGTGTACCATAGTCAGTAGCTAGGTATGGGTAAGGGAGGCATAGAGTACATGTGATGAGCTACAACAATGGTTGTAGAGCCTAGCATAGCTAGGTTAAGAGATAGTTGAAAGTGCCATGCCATTGCCAAGATTTCATAAAGACCCTTATGGCACTGTCCTGCAAATGGGTCCTTCGCTTAGTTGTGAGAATTTTAAGCATACCCTTCTTCTTCATATATACCATATGCCAAACAATGGAGTTGTTATGATTAATTTTTTTTGGCTAATCTTGCAGTTTGCGGAGATTTTCTTGCACTCATACATAAGCGTGCGGAATTCAAGGTTTTTCTCTCATAGGAATGACAATGACACTTTTTTTTATTGAAATGAGAAATAGACATGAATGAAAGAATGAGAACGGTACGTTTTAAGGGAATGAGAATGAGACGGGTAGACATGAGTGGAAGGTTTTAGTGGATGTCTTAAAGTTCATATCAATTTTCTCTATATACTCTAGTTGATGACATGGTTGTCTTTCGATATACTAGTACACTCATAGGTCTGTATGCATAAACCAGTTTATACATTATGCCTACTACGTTTTCCTTGCTATGTCCTAACCTTACAAGAGAAGTCACATCCCTATTGAAGATACTATCGCTCAACTTTGGATTAAAAATGTATCTCCATATACGACACAATCTCCGACAATATGGACTTTCATCACACAAATAAATTGCGTTCTTACATGAGCATGCGGAATGCAAGTTTTTTCTCTCA